AACGATTAAAAATAATCCTGGTAAAAAAACAGTTTTACTTTGTTCTATTCCAAAAAATAATGCATCTTCTAAATCGATTGGTTCATCTTTGTTCGTGGTCGCGTTAGCCAAGAGTGTATTATCAATTTTTTCTTGTAAGGCTGAAGGATCTACAGTTAATGTTACTATCCATGCGATATTTGGACTAAATCCACCTTTTTGTTTATCACAACCAAATGAAAGGATTCCATCTGAGGTAGGTTTTCCAGGTAAGCAAAATGGCATTCCAGGATCTTTTCTAGGTTCTTGTGACCCGTCATGGGCTGTATACATTGGTATTTTAAAAGTGTACTCGTATGGTTCACAAACACAGAAATTCTGAACTTCTTTGGTTTTTGCATTGATATCGATTGGTCTATCTACAGAGTTTATAACTTCCCATTTATCATTTATTCTACTTTGTATATCATTATCCGTATTATCAAATCTAGTAACACCGGGTTTAAAAAAATCGTACGTTTTACCAATATCCTTATTTTTCCAAAATTCACCATCTTTACAAGCTAAGAATGTTAAAGTTACGATAAAAGGTCCTGGTGGTTTGTAAACTTTAAATTCGCCATAATCTTTACTAACTGCATTCAACACAATTCTAAAGCCAAATTCTGAATATATTCCTCTCAATTTCATTCTGGGAGCTTTAGGAGCTTTTTCATCATTGGTTGTTTGACCAAATCTATTCTATTTGACTAAAGGTCTTAAAGCAAAATTATCTTTTGTATACTTTGGTTTACCGATTTTAATTGTTTTTTCTTCGGTTTCGCCTTCGATTTCTTCTATTTGAATTTCTTTAAAAAATGTTCCAAAATCATCAACATGGGAAATGTCACCAAAAAATATATTTCTAATATTATCTATTAATTTATCTGTGATAGTTTTTTTTCTCCCGTCAACTTCTTCTTCAGGATCACAGACATTGATACAAGGTAAATTTAACAAACGAGATCCTGGCAATAATTTTGAGGCCATTTTCATCTCATAGTACATCCCTAATTTATCAACATCCCATCCAAAAAATCTTTCAAAAACATTATCGTATTTTTTTTTAGCTGTTCTTACAGGTGCCATTTCAAGATTTGAAACAAGCCTTAAGTTGTTGTTGTAAATAAGTTAATTTTTTGTTACTGTTTCCTTTTTGATCCTTTTTAGTATTAGGATTTTGGTTTTTTTTATCTTTCTTTTTGAGTTCTTCAAAATTAAGTATATTTTTATTTTTATTGTTTGATTTGATTTCTTGCACAACTTCTTCTCCAATTAATTTTCTTCTATTTATAAGATTATCAAGTGTTTTGCCAGATTTAATTAATTGTAAAACCACCGAACTTCTTTCTTTAATATATTTATTTTTTTCTCTTTGTAACTTATCTATTCGTTTTTTAAGTTCGGACTTTTCAGCTTCAAGTAATGAATTGTTGATTTCGAAATTTTTTTTATCAACTTCTTTTTGTATATCTTTAATGTTTTTATTAGTTAATTTTAATTTATTTATCAGATCAGTTCTTTTCGATCCTTCATCCGAATCCTTTTTGGGTTTTTTATTTGTAAATATGTTATCTGGATTTTGTCTTTTTTTAGTATTTTTATCAGGTGTGGTATTAAGACTTTTTTTATACGCCGCAAACGAATTAGTGTTATTATTAGCTGTTTGAAACATAATTAAATATCAATTTGGATATTTCTAGCAAACCACTATCTAAAAATTCGATTAATTTATAATAAGAACTGTTAAAAGGAATCAAGAAATCTTGAACAATATCAAAATTTTTTTTAAATTCTACCAATGTGATAAATGATAAATAAATTATTAAAATGACAATTGTAATTCATGTTAATTTAAATATATTTAATAAAAGATTTGAAAGATGTTGATCGTATTCTTCTTCATTCATAATGAGATGATAACAGGTAACGGTATTTATCTATTTATATTTAAAGAAGCGATATTTTCATCAAAAGTTTTTTCTTTATTATAATATTTAACAACCTCAGATATATCGCATATTTTGTTTTTTAAACAATAGCTAACAAATTTTGCCCATTGATTATTTGAAGAGTTTCTATGTTTTTTCTTAATTGTTTTCATATCTGATTTTTGTTTTTTATTATTTTTATTCACCAGTCTTTCAAAGAGTATGGTATTTTCTTCTATTTTAGAAATGATTTCTTTGTTATTTTGTGAAATTTTCAAAATTATCTCATCCATTGATTCACTTTTTGTTATCATTTAAAATCATTTATATATACAAAATCATATAAAATGTAAAATTTGCAAAAAAATTATTTATGTAATTATTAGTGATTTATTAATAAATTTTACAAAAATACCAATCAAAAAATTACAAAATACTGAATTTATATAAGGATAAACATGTTAAGAAAATTGCAAAAAAAAAAATAATAAACAACCAAATCAAGATAAATTTACTTTTTAATATATAGTTAACGAGAAAAAAATTAAAAGAATCGATTGTGGTTTTTTTTACCATTATACAAAAAAAAATTTGCAAAACAAAAGATGTAAGAATAAACGTGTTAAGAAATATACGTTTATAAATTTG